CTAAATACACTGACCTTTTGTCTCTTCTGAGGCATTAGAAGATGGTTGTCTAGTCACACTCTTGGCTGCCTTTCCAGAACACTCTTGACAGTGAATCCTGTGGTTTTAGTGTCTTCTGCAATCTGGGTAGCTGAGCATTTCCCATTTCATCAAGTCCCCGTTCCTTTTTGATTAAGTTGTTCCCCCTTCCTTACCTCTTTCCCCTTGCATTTATTTTAAGAAGCAAGAAGAAACCAAGCCACATTTTCCACACTTTGAGAATTTCCTCAGAAAAATCCAAGTTCATCACTTACAAATTCTGTGTTCCATGTAACTGTAGGACACAGTTCCACTAAACTTTCTACCACTATATAACAAGAATTCTCTTTCTTCCAGTTTCCAATAATAGGTTTCTCTTTTCCTTTTGAGCCCTCACCAGCGGTGCATTTACTATCCTTTCTACCATTCGTCAGCTTAAAGATGATTTAAGTATGCTCTAAAACAATATAGGTTTTCTTTACTGTGTTCCTTCCTTCTGAGTCCTTATGAGCAGAGTCATTAAAATCCATATTTTTACTTATAGTCTATTCAAGGAGTCTAGGCTTTTCCTCTCATGCTCCTCAGGATGCTCCAGTATCTACTCTTTATTCAATTCCAAAGCCACCTCCACAGTTTTAGCCATTTGTTATAGGGGCCTTCCACTTCCAGGTACCAAGCTTTATATTAATTTCCTATTGGTACTTTAATAAATGACTGCAAATGTCGTGGCTTAAAACACTAATTTATTATCTTACAATTCTGAAGAGCAGACATTCAAAATAAGTCTTACATGGCTACGATGTCAATAAGCCTCTAAGGGATATCTATTCTTTTGCCTTTTTCAGCTTCTAGAAGTGCAAGACTTCTTTTCTCATGGCTCTTCTACTCTCACAGCCAGAAGTGTGACATACTTATACCTCTCCCTCTGACACTTCTGCCTCACTCCCATAAGGACTCTTATAATGACATTGGGTCCACCCAGATAATCTAGGGTCATCTTTCCATCTCAATATGCTTAACTTAATTACATCTGCAAAGTCCCTTTTACCATGTAAGGCATTCACAGGTTCTAGGGATTAGGACATGGACATCTTTAGGAGGATGGGGCATTACTTTTCATACCAGGGAAAGATACTATAAAAATGAGTTCCTTGAGATCAAAGTTCATACCCTTCTCCTTTCTGCATTATCAGAACCTAGCACATTCATTGCCTGGCACCTAGAAAGCACTCAGCAAATGTTTAATAATTGCTTCGATTGAGAAAAAAATGTATTTGGTATTTGCTATGTGACAGACACTCTTCTAGGTGCTGGGAGAAATGGTGGTGAACAAAACATGGTTCTAGTTTTTATAGACCATACACTCTAGTGTGGGGAAGCAGAAAGTACACACCAAAAACCTGTATTAGGTGATGCTATGAAGAAAAACAAACCAGGATAGAGACAGAATGTGCTAGTTGTGCTATGTAAGAAGTCCTCTTAGACAGGGTCCCATTTGACTAAAGACTAAAAAGAACTGGGGAACCAGGTTTATGAATATTTGGGATAAGAATATTTTAGAAAGATGAAATGATATGTGAAAAGATTGAGTTAGGAACATGCTTGGATTTTGAGATTTTTAAGGAATAGTAAGGATGCAAATGAGGCTTACAATGAAAGAGGGAGAGAATGGTATAAGATGAAGTCAGACAGGTAGACAGATGACAGAATGCATAGGATTTTGTAGTCTGTGGTGAAGATTTGGATTATACTCAGAGAGAGATGGAGGTACATTATGGGTTGGAACAGAAGCTGGCAAATATCTGACTTATATCTTAAAAGACTAGTCTGGCTGCTATGTTGAATATCAGCTGTGGGAAGGTTAATGGAGGAAGCAAGAAAACAAGACAGAGACGTGATGGTGACCTGGACTAATTTGGTAGCAGTGGTAGGGGTAAGAATTTGTAGCTCATTCTGGACATATTTTTAAGTTGGGGTCAAAGATACAGATGTAGTGAAAATAAGGGGCACACGAACCCCAATGTTCATAGCAGCAATGTCCACAATAGCCAAACTGTGGAAGGAGCGAAGATGTCCTTCAACAGATGAGTGGATAAAGAAGATGTGGTTCATATATACAATGGAATATTACTCAGCCATCAAAAAGATGAATACCCACCATTTGCATCGACGTGGATGGAAATGGAGGGTATTATGCTAAGTGAAATAAATCAAGCAGAGAAAGACAATTATCATATGGTTTCACTCATATGTGGAACATAAGGAATAGTGTGGAGGACCTCAGGGGAAGGGAGGGAAAACTGAATGGGAAGAAATCAGAGAGGGAGACAAACAATGAGAACCTCTGGACTTCGGGAAACAGACTGAGGGTTACAGAAGGGAGGGGGTGGGGTATGGGGTAACTGGGTGATGAGTATTAAGGAGGGCACGTGTTGTGATGAGCACTGGGTGTTATAGGCAACTAATGAATTATTGAACACTGCATCAAAAACTAATGATGTACTATATGTTGGCTAATTGAACATACTTTAAAAAAAAGATGAGGCTTGTATGATTTGCATGATGGATTGGCTATGGTCTGAGAGAAAGAAAGCAATTATCTTTCTTGGATGAGGCTGAGCATCTGATGAGTAGAGGCACTGTTTACTGAACCGGAGACGATTATAAAACAAGGACAAACTTTCAGTTTTGTATATGTTTAGATTGATGTTCATCAGACATTAAGTCAAAATGCTGTGGATAGACATGGGGAGACTGGCGTTCAGGGGAGGAATTGGGGCAAAAGATATGCTTTTGGGAATCAGCATGTGGATGCCATTTAAAGCTGTAGAACTGGATGAAATCCCCAGGGGAGCCATTTTAGAAAAGAGGTGGCACCAGAATTGAGCAAAGAGGTATTCTTCTGTTTGGAGGTCAGGACTGTGAAGAGATACCAGCAGCAGAGTGCGCTAACAAGCAGGCAAGTGAAGAATGATAGGATCCAAGACAGAGCGATGTCCTAGAAGCCAAATGAAGACAAATTTTCAAGTAAGGAGTAATCAAATGTGTCAGCTGCTGCTGAGGTGTAAGATGAGGACCTCAAAATAGCCATTTTTTAACATGATTGTGTTTTGATAGAGCTGGGAATACAAATGCCTAATTGAAGTTATTCATGGAGCTTCAAGTGCCTTTATATTCACGCAACAGAAGAGGATCCTTGTTGTATTTCTAAATGTTGACAAGTACTTAAAACTTTATGTTATGTGATTTGGGGCTGACTGGTAGTACAATTATTGGAGTTTTTTGAAGTTTAATTAAAATTTCTAAGTTGGTCAGGACGCCTGGCTGTCTCAGCCGATACAGCATGTGACTTTTGATCTTGGGGTCATGAGTTCGAGCCCCATGTTGGGTGTAGAGATAACTTAAAAAATTTTAAAAAAGGTTTCTAAGTTGGTCATTTAGCATATCTTTATTTGCAAATACCCTTAAAATGTGTAAGCTTTAAACTTACTAAATTCCTTAACTTCAATTAATCTCCTTTCCATTATAAGACTGATGAGTCCATACAATGGAGAGATTTATATAACTAGGACAATTTCCATTTTTCTGGGACAGCAACAACTGAGTGCAGGCAGAATAGTTTGAAAGGCACTTTTGCTTTAACTTTTTACCCCATTTCTTCATGGTGCTGACAGAGGTCAAATATCAAATGTTCCAGGTCAGAGATTAGTTATGGGAATTCTTTAGTTGAAAGTGCATTCATTCTTTTGAGACCAATAAGTATGTTAGTAATTAGTGTTGTTTAACTGCATATTCCCTTCCTCTTAGTAAAATCAACTATCAAAACATTGTTGGCTTATATATGACTCTAATATCTAAATCACAGAGTTTATATTTGGTATATTGTGCAAAAACTAGATAAAATAAATAGGAATAACTGTAAAGCACATAGAATATTGAAACTCATAGAGCCAATAAAATTCTCAAGTATTCTGCCAATGTTCATTAGATTCCTTAAAATACAATGCATAAATGAAAACTATTCCACAGGCTTCTCCCGTATTACACTCTTTTGCTTTTTTATTTCCTTTTTATAGGTGGGACAGTTATAGTTGGCAAGGGATTGACAAATAGCAGGGAAGGCTGATTAGGAAAGGGAGAATGTGAAAGAAGTTTGCTACATTGAATTTACAGCCTTTAACTGTGATCTGAGGACAGAAATCATCATTCATGTACCTGGCTTGTTCTAGGCAAATGTAGGGTTTTGATGGGGTGCGAATTTGCCCTCTTATACTCTTGCTGTCTGCCTACTTCCCTCTTACTGAGGATGTTCTTTTTGCAGTGCTGTAGACATATAATTACATATTTCATTATCTTCTGCTTGAAATTCATCCATCTTGGTTCTAGATGTTTTCTCTTACAGATGTTTTCTCTGCACACTCTTAGATTTTAAAGTGGTAAATGATCTGTGCTAAAAATTGCTTGGCTTAATTCTAGATTAAAACTGACAAAATAGCCAACCAACCAGCCTTTACTAACTTGAAAGTAAAAATAAGCAGAATGGGGGAAATATATTAATGACAGTTGGCAAGTGGCCAATACCCCAATTCATCTATAGGCACAAAACTGACTCTGGACATGTGAATTCAGGAAAGGGCTTGGAAAGCTCAGGATTGGGAAATGTGGATTCTCACTGATTGGAAGGAAAATATTAGTCACTTTTTTTTTCTTTTTTTTTTTTGGTAATGGGGTTACATTTGCTTTTTTATCTATACTTCATTTTTTAATTTCAATATGTACCAAAGGGGATATTGAGTGTTAATGTTATGGATAAGACAGACCCAAGTTCAAATCCCAGTTTTGACACTTACTGGGAGATTTGATCCAGCTACCTACATTCCATGTGCCTCAGTTTCCTCAAATACAGAAGGGAGACAATCCTCACATCATGAAATTGTTGTGATGAGGATTATAGCAAGCAATTCATGAAAAAAAGACTAGTGTAAAATACAGACCCTGTAGATTTTAATTGGAAATTGAATAACATATGTTCTGGAAACAAACAATACATTTGACAAGAGGGTAACAGGTATATATTAACAAAGGAAATATTGGGGAAACCATTTCTTGGGTGTGGAAATTTTTCAGTTATAAATAGGAAGACTTTTTGATTCATATTGTAAAGTGTTTAGTGCAGAAACATATATCATTTACAAAGAACGGTTTGAAAGCTCAATAGATTCACTCACTAGGAATCATTAAAGTAAAAGAAATGTGGAGGATTAATAATATCACATCAAAATGAAATGTTTATTTACTATAAGAGTTATATTGTCAGACGTCATTTCAAAGAACTAAGAGATTATTTATCTACCCCAGGATGAAAGGATATCATGTTAGACTTCATAAATGAATAGTGATTCTACTTTCCACTCCATCCATCCATCCATCCATCCATCCATCCATCCATCCATCCATCCATCCATCTGTATATATGCATTTATGTGTTTATATGCCATATCAGAATTATAAATATCTACAAATAAATATCAACAAAATCTCAAAATACAATTTAGGAGACCTTAACCTCTAATCACCTATATATACCTAATCTCAGTTATTCTTTGAAATTTGGGAGAATCATATACATTATCACACAACTAATCCTATATAATTTGAGTTAGAATCACTAATGACAAAAGTACGATCTAAAGTATGACCTCAAAGTTGAAGTGAGCAGATTGCATATAGTTGTGGCTTCCAAATAATAGTCATGTAGAAGTGTGTGACTAACAATACTGTTGACTTTACACCAGGAATTTTTGCCTAGAAATAATGCCTAAGTCTGTTGCAACTATTTCGTTCAACCTACTATACAAACCATAATAAACCTCAGTATCTTCTGGAAAGTGAAACTTTGAATCATTTAAGAATACAAACAACAAAATGTACTGTTATCAGACTTTGGTTTATTGTAAAATTTAGCAAAGTTTTTTTTTTGTTTTTTTTTTTTTGGTAATCCCTGACCCCTTGCTCTGAAAACAAAAGCAAAAACATGATTATTGCTTATTCTTTTTCCCTCTACTTTATTTGTTCCACTGTAAAAGAGGGGAGAAAAATCACTGTAATAAATAAAAATAGAGATGTAAGAGAGAAAGATAAATCAGTCCAGAAAAGAAAGATTAGGAGCAACAGAATTATCATCAAGCAGTTTCAAAATAAGCTTCTTTTAAAAAGGTTGTCATATAAAAAAAAAAAATCACACCAAAAATATAGCAGCGGAGAAGGATAAATACAAGTTAATTGCACACCAATCCCATGCAAAAAACTGGGTCATTAGCCAAAGCAGTAGTATTCAGAATCCAGTTTGGGGTGCTTGTGCAGGGCTTGCGAGTCCTCTATTACGGAGTTGTCGCTGAACTGGTCCAAGTCCGATGGGGTCTGATGGCCTGGGACATCATCCGCCAAAGTGTCCAGAAAGCTCCCCACGGAGATGCCATCCAGCCCATCGCTGCCATCATGAAGACTATTGTAGCTGCCACGTAAGGAGGTGCTCTGACTCTCCAATAAACTGCACAGGCTGCCACTGAGACTGCTGCCTCGGCTGGTGATGGTGGCTTTCTCTTCAATCATCCACTTGATGGACTCAATGCTCTCATTGATAACAAGCAACTGGCGCATGAGCCTGACGTCTGTGGCTCGGAGGTTAACCTGTGCGGAGGGCGGAAAGAGCAAAGACATGCCGGTTATTCTCCATTTTTGAAAGACTCAAAATTCACTTGGGTTCTGTCTTCTGCAGGCCATAACTTTATATGCACAGAATAAAATATAAATTCACTTGATCTCATGACCTTTTGAAAACTGCTGGCCAATGGAAAAGGCAGAGTCAACTGACTCACTTCCTGCCCTCGATGCATCAGGCTCCAAAGGGGACAGTAAAACTCGCACTGCATCTCTGACCCTAACTCAGCTGCCTGGAAATAACATATTGACTGTCAGGTTCTCTGCTAAGAAATGCATTCTCTCTCTGGCCAGAATAATAGTTAATCCATGTTTACTTGGGAATATGCATGTAGATGCTGTGAGGTGGGGAGAAGAGAAATGTGTGGTAATTAAGCAATTATCAGCATCACCATCATTGTAGCTGCTCCCAGTTTTTGAGTGATGACGTACCAGACATCATTATGCAAATGCCAGCCTCCATTATATTGTAGCAACCCTGGGCCATGGGTATTACTTTTATCCCCATTACACAGGTGAAGAAACTGAAATCCACAGAAAGGAGTATGGAAGAGGTCTGCACTCTCTATGACTATATGGAAATATATCTAGTTCTAAATAATGCTTTTATTTTTAAGAATCAAATTGCTTTACAATTCCTTGAATTGTAAATCCAAGGAGGCCATCCACTTTACAAGATGAATCCAAAAGGAGGCCATCCACTTTACAAGATGAAGCATTCAGATGTCTTCTATAGATCTGATTATTTGCCTCAGATAGGTCAGGGGAAGCCTCAATCAAAATTGGTATATAGAACTCTGAGAAAGTTCTAGAACTCCCTCAGATACCTTCTAGGTGTGTAGTCCTTCTGATAGTTCTAAATTACTTCAAAGAAACCTGTCCTCACAGCACAAAGCAGAATTTCTTTTTAGGTCCTATAGTTAAATGGGAACATTTGCTAACATCAAGAGTGTGGTGTTTCTGTGGAAGGTGGAGAGAGGTAGGCTGCAAGAACTCTCATGACTGCCCATGTTCTTGTTGTAAGTGAAGAGATGTGGCTCCTATAAAGCTTCTAGCACCTGGACTGGGAGTCAGGGAAACATTTGGCCACCAGAGGTCACATTCGTTATGGTTTGAAATAGATTTCCTTTTTTTTTTTTTTTCAGTTGGGGTCCTTAACCCAAGAGGCTGGGCCTTGCTAATTGTTTCTTTAAGATCCAAGGCTAATTCGGATTTGTGGGTTTCTAGAATTATTAAAGGCATTCAGTCATGAATGACTCAAGCCTTTAAGGAGAAAGGAGCTATTGTCTTCAAATGTATGCATTCATATTATAAAAATATTTCCTGGTTAGGAGTTAATCCATAACCAAAGGTGAACTTTGGGTTGAGTGAATGTGATGAACAAACATTAGGAGAAGATGGAATTTCTACCAATGACTTCAAAGATGTAAGATTACAGGTCATGTATGAATACACATTAAAAAAGCATAAGGTATGATTTTAAAACTCTTAATTTTGCTAGGCTATCACATAAAGTGGCATGAGTGACTTCCTTATCTTCTCTGAGGAAAGCACCAAAAACAAACTGTATACAAGGTAACTGTGAAAATCATTTGTCTCTGGGGTGTCTGTGAGCAGAAAAATGTTAACTTATTAAGTTTTGAGATGTTTTTCAGTTACACAGTGTCTCAGTGACCTTGCAGTCATGTTGCATTGAGAAAGGAGGCTTTCTGGCAGTCTTTATGTTCAAATTCACCCCCACACCCCATGAGCCATCAACATACTGTTCAGGTTACATGTAATACAACAAATATTTATAAATCAACAACTTGTCCTGGTCCACTGAGGAGCCTAGAAAATCAATGAGCCAAAGTCTTACAAAATTCTTCTGTGAGGCGTCCGTAGCCGATGAGACATGCTGTGCCCATTGTCGGCCTGGTGCCATATAAATGGGACCATTTCCCGTCAGCGCCCCAAATGATCCACAGCTGCATTTGTTCACATCCCCGCCCTGTCGCATGAAAACATTCTGGTCCGTGCCCAGCTGTGGGTGTGTTCCCTGTTAGTCTCCTCACTTGAAATACTTCTCTCTTCCTCTTCAACACTCCCCCCCCATTCCTAAAGTCCTCTAAGCACTACTTGCTGATTCCAGCCTCCTCTGCTGGCCCATGTACAAAATGTCTTACAATTTTTCCGTATCTTAAGGCCTGACCTAGGTAAGCATTGATTGATTTTTTTTTTCCTTAACTGGCATAAATTTAGATCTGTGGACGTTCAGCTCTTAAGGCAGTAATAATGCCCACTCCCAACGACTGTGTCACTCCGGAGTTAAAACATACTCAGGACAAATTCTTTCCGGCAATTTTTGTCTGAGTTACGCCATGGCTGCCTCAAACACAATTTTTTCAATCTTATTGAGCAATGCAAATCAGAGGAATAGACTATGAACTAACAAAAGCTTCCTTTGACCATGAAATGATTTATTTAGAAACAATCTTTTTCTTCTGAAGGCAAACATTCACAGGCCATCGAACCACCGCTGGGGGGGAAAATGACGAAAGCGAGTCAGTTAGAACGCGTTGATCTGGCTGCTAATGATGACAGACCTAACTTCTAACTCTGCCCTGCTGGGGAGAAAGTAAACAGCTGCTCTGTGGGAGCGCAGAGCCGCCCGTTCACACGGCTGCCTGTCCAATACCTGGTGCTCCAGGCTGCCCCACACCGCTCGCTCCTGGAACTGAGGTGTGGTTATGCTGTTGCCAATGAACCCTGAAAGTCTGAGCAATCTGCCACAGGACGAAATCACAATGTTGCTTCTGTCTCTGGTTGCTGCCCCGCCTTTCCTCCCTGTTATTCATGTCAGTGTTTATGAAGTGGGGCCATCTATTAAGGAGACAGTCGCCTACCCCGTCGGTAGGAAAGTGTCCGGTTCTTTCACCTAAAGTCTTACAAAGTCTTGTGACTTTAAAGCTATAGAGAGTTGGGAGGCCCTTTTCATGGTCTGAGTTTAAGTTCCCCTTCTTGGAGAACTCCTTCCTGATCCATCATGGTATCCAGTCTCCATGCCTAGTTGAATACTACATTTCTGTTTTTTTTTGTTCCCTTCTCGGTGTTTATGGCTAGTGGAAATCATCCTGCTTATTGTTCGTGTGTGTACTTTTTGTGTTCCTCATAAGCATGTAAGCACCACAGAATGCAGGGGATTTGGTCTATTCTGTTCACCACTCTGTGCCCAAGGCCTGCAAGAGTGCTTGGCACATAGTAGGGGCTCAATTCGCATTTCTTCAAGGGCTGACTGATTGTTTCAGATTGCACCATCTGTCAGGAACACCCCTCCCTTGGGCTTTGAGGTGGGTCAGGGATATGTGACTTGAGAGGAAGAAAGCGGCGGCTTGGAAAGGCTCTGGAAAGAGCATTTCAGAGCTGGAGCATTGCCAGCATGCAACCCATTCTGATTCATTCACAGGATTCAAACACGGTATTCCTAGCTTGAATGTACAGATTATCGAGATAGTATCTCTGAAAGGAAATGGACTTCAAGGTGTGACTCATACTCCAAACATTATTCTGTTTGTTCCGAGGTGATAACTGGTTCTGGTCTTAGCACAGGCACAGGGTTCTGTAAATACTTGATGAAATGATTTGAACAAAGGGAACAAACAGGACATTTATAAAAAGAAAAGAAAAGGAAAAGAAAAAAAGGAAAGAAAAGGAAGGAGGGAAGGAAGGAAGGAAGGAAAGAAGGAAGGAAGGAAGGAAGGAAGGAAGGAAGGAAGAAAGAAAGAAAGAAAGAAAGAAAGAAAGAGAAAGAAAGAAAAAAAGTTTTGCACAGATTGATCGAAAGAGATGTGAATGTCCTTTCCTCTTTTCCCCTACCACACCCTACCCGTCCCACCCCCCACTCTGGTCCTTGCATTATTGCAATGTGGTTCACCTTCATACTTAACTGAGGTCTCTCATGCTTTAGGATTTTAACATAGGTCTCCAGACTTGGTAAATGCTGAAATTTCCTATCATTTTTGGACAAGTAGTGAACTGGGTCTGTGGCAGAAATTGAAATGAGGGATCCTGAAAGAGCAAATAATCTTAATAATAAACTTTCCCAGATCTGTGTTTTCCTCCTGGCTATCATTTTAATGCTGAAAGAAGACAAGCATTATAAATTAGCACAATGGAATCCAAAAGGAGAGGAGGTGGTCAAATTTTCAATTAATCAGGGAGTTGTTGAACAACTCAACTTTTTTTGTAGCGCTGTCCGAGCAACATGGTACAGGGTTCTAGCCTGCCACTGTCACTGTCTACCTGTGTGACCTCTGGCAAAGTGGTTTGGCACAAGGGATCTCAGCCTCTGTATTCATGAAGACAAAGGATGAGGTTTTATTCTCCGCTCCAGTGAACCACAGGCCTCAGTGGAGGTGGTAAAGCAGTCTGTGAACAAAGGCTCATTTCTGCCAGTATTGAAGATTTAATTCGACTGAGGAACCTCCTATCACTTCTGTCTGCTTTTCTTTTTTTTTTTTTTAAATATTTTGTTTATTTATTTGACAGAGAGAGACACAGTAAGAGAGGGAACACAAGCAGGGGGAGTGGGAGAGGGAGAAGCAGGCTTCCCACAGAGCAGGGAGCCCGATGCGGGGCTCGATCCCAGGACCCTGGGATCACGACCCGAGCTGAAGGCAGACGCTTAATGACTGAGCCACCCAGGCACCCCCTGTCTGCTTTTCATACTGAGGATTTATTTAGGATGTTATTTGATGCAAAGAATCTGCAGATCGGACTGGCTCAGGATTTCCCTCTACTTTGACATAGTCTCTGATTCTTTCGTCATTCTGGTGACTGTTTGATTACTAAATTGTCTCTGCTTTGAGAAAACCATGTGGGCTATATATAGATGAGACAGAACAATCAATTTTGCTACTCAACAGCTCCAGCAAAATCTTTAGCTAGTAAAATCTCATGGCCAAAGCCAGCACTTTGAGCTCTTTGTGAAT